TCCTGCTACTAGTGGCAACTCAAAGTTTCATTAAACATTACGCCCTTTTCAGGTTCTTTGCCTATTTGTACATGTTTTTCTTAGACCACAGTCTCTTTCTTTTCTTTTGCCCTCCTATCCTTTTTTTTTTTTTTTGAATTACAGACTATTTCTAAGGCTTGGGATTTACACACTGCATCCCCCCCAAACATTACCTACTACTGTTTTTATGCTTTCATTTATTTTATCCTTGGGTGCAGCTATTTTTCCTTTTGGGTCCTCATACCTCTCCTTCCCACACAAACATGCCCCTCGCACACTCCTCCTCTTATGGAGCCTTTGCTTCATATGTAGCATTATTCTGTGTTTGTCTGGCATGCAATTCCCAAACATCCAACTCTATCAGGAACTCCCATCTCCCCTATCCCAAATCTGCTGGGGCTTCTGTAACTTCTCTTGCTATTTTCCCCTCCTGAGACCCTGACGGCAGAGGCAAAGCCATGTCTGCTTCATTCTTGGATGCTTTAAATGCATCTGGGCTCTCTCTCACAACTGAGACTGCGAAAGCTGCTAGAAGGGAGAAAGAGCGAATGTGGGGAGCAGCATTTGCCCCCTGATTTTCTAGATTTCCCTATGACCACTGGTAAAGGCATAACCAGTCTGACACGTGTTCTTGATGGCCTGTCACACAACGTGAAGGGTGGATTGAGCTTCTCATCAGACCAGAGCCACCAATTATGCATAACAAGTGACAACATTTCAAATGACAGATCTTTATCTATCGTACTTGGTAGAGTCACACAATCACCACTGACAGCACTACCAAACCCAGTCAGGAAAGCAGAAGCATCACCCTTCTGCACAGTGACAGAAACTGCCCTTCCCTGCCATCAAAGCCATCCTCAGGGCTCATAAGGTAGAAATATTTTTCCACCAAGAAAAATGCACAAATCTCACCCATGGTTATGTTAGCTAGCTAAATTTCTAGAGGGTATGCATAGTTCCTTGCTAGCTTCACTGATGTGTTTTTTTTTTTTCTACAATTCAGCTAGCTTTATTTCTACTGCCTGTTCAGTTTTTTTTTTTAAATAGCAAAAACACCAACTGCTTTGCTTGTAAGCAGAACACCTCTGCAGTTTCCATTCCAACCGCCTGGTCTCATTTAAGTCAAAATTAAAGCAGTTGGTCCTGCCAAACATTACATTAAGTGAGAGAACTCTCTATCCCCATGAAATTTTAACTCCCACAGGCTTCCACTGGAAGTTTTGCACATGAAAACTTAGTGTCAGCCCATCCTTCATCTCAATAAAACAGGGCCACCACCACATTTGGTCACAGGAGGCTCGGTAAATTGTAAAGAATTCAGCATGGATCCTCAGAGCCCTTGGTCTGATAATGAAGGAGCACCTAGCCTGGGATGGGAGATTGGAAAACTCAGTACATTTCTGCAACTGATCCTCTATAGCCCTGAAAATAAGCCCTGTTTTAGCCAAACCAGGACAAGGCTCCAGGCCGGAGCTGGTTCAGCTGCTGCCTGCAGTGTCAGTATGGAAGGAGGTGCAGAAGCAGGCCCTCCCCACAGGCTATGGGAACTGGATGATGCCGGGAGGGAAAGTTCCTTGATTGGGGCCAGGCTTGTTATCTGTAGGCAAGAAGTGGAAGCTTCAAGTCTTCTGCCCTCAACCCTTAGTAAGTTAGTGTCATTCCCACAGCTTCCCGTACAGATGAATTGCATGTATTTTTATGGCTGTGCAAGATGGCAAGGAGGCATTCTTCCATATTTGCAATTCATCCCAGGCTCCAAAAGCAGTGCCTGGAAATGGCTTTGAAATTTACTCAATCACATTCCACAATTTCTCCAGAAACTTAAATTGATTTGAAGCAGCGCAGAGGAAGAGAGCAGCTAAACTCACGTGGCTGTGCTCAAAGCTCTGCACAGAGTCCAAGTACTTATTGCTGAAGGTGGTTCCTAATGGTTTCTGTGCTGTTAATATGATCAGGTAAACAAAAATAGGATGGGATATTTATTAAAGTATCCTCCAGTGCTGTTCAATGACTATATTAGTCATAGGAGACAGATGAAATATAAAAGGATATACAGCTGTGATTCCAAAGAGATACTAACTGCCTCAGCTTGGTAAGGGCAGACCGAGAGAAACTGCCATTAATGCAGCATATTTGCACAGAACTAGCCAGCAAACAAGGAAGTGACTAAGATGTAACAGTGTGTCCAAGGTTTTTGTTCTTGTTTTGAAAAACAAAGAAAAAAAAACACACACAGAAAAACCCACCAAACCAAATCAACCCAAAACAACACACAACCTTTTCTTCTCTCGTATGAATTCTTGACACAGACAAGAAGCACAGAGTTCTGCCCGCAAATTTAAAAGTGGCAAATTCTAGCAAGCTGACGATGCCAACAACATAGCAAGATTAAGAAGGACTGGACTTTTTTTTAAAACAGTCACTAATAACATCCATATGTATCCTAATTAATATAAAACCTATATAAATATTTATATTATTATTAAAGCCTGGAAAGACAGCATTTCTTGTGATCTGGGTCTTAGACCAATATTCAGCAGCACAAGACATCTATAAGCACGTTTGGGATCAGACCATCCAACTATTTACCCTGTCTTCTGAACTGCCATCACTGGCCCCTTTCAGAGAAAGGTGTTTCTGGATACGATCCCACAAAACAATTCCCAGCCAGCAGCAGCTTTCATTGTTTAACTTCTACTGGCCACAAAAAAAGTACAGGAGGGTCTCCCAGGCAAATTAGCATCTAAGTTGTGAATTGAGGACTGATCCTTTGCGTTGACATCTCTCCATATTTCTCAAGATTCAAATAGGCAAGAAAAATTCCTGTTTATTTCAGCATACACAAAGTGTTTGCAAATATCTTCCCAGGACGCTTAATACTCCAAAAACAAAACAGACACTCTTCAGATTTATTTTTTTTTTTAAATTGAACATCATTTGCGCTGAGTGCCATGTAGCGTTCCTGAAATGATACTTATAATTAGCCTCTAGCCTCAAAATGGGAACTGGAAATGCTTTGATAAATGAATTGTAAAGGCCAGCCAGCTAGTTTCGTTGTGACTTGTGGAAACACATCTGTATCCTGTGCTGACATGCTATTTTGTTTTGCTGCAAACCACACAAGTCTGCATCTAGAGAGCACAACATATTAGTCATCACCATTGTCCTTATGCAGCCTCTTTACAACCCTCTCTGCCTGAATTTTTTTTTTTTCTCCACCTTTTCCAGGCTGTCAGTTTACCAGTTACTTACTGTTGTTGCTCCACTGAGATTACCTGTCAGATTCCAGTCCCTGGATTTACACACAAGCCCTATTTATCATCTACGATGGCCAAATCATTCATCAGTAAAAGAAAGGCTCGGTAAAAGACTGAGTGAGCCTGGGAAGAAGAACCACTATCACAAGAAGGCGCAGTCCTGCACAAGTAACATTGCCTGAGAGGCTGAAAGCAGAAGGATGCTTTGGAACACCATGGCATGTATGTGCAAGACGCCTGACTACACTGTTTGCTTTGGTTTGGATTTTTTCTTAATATCTTGCATGGTCATAGACTGGCATGACTGATATGGATCTGTTTTAAGACAGCTCATGTCAGGGTGGCCAGGTGTCTAGTTCTTGGTGGATGTCTACAGTGACATGTGCCTAGACCACAGTGCAGACAAGGGCATCTCCACCGAAGGAGCAAGACCTGAAAGGAAGAACTCACATAACCTACATTCTTTGATAATCTGCACAACCCTAAAACAGAGGTAGGACTGAGGTGGGCGATGGATAGGCGGTGGTAGCACAAGTTGAGCAACTACGGAAGAAAGGTCTCTAGGGTAAACCTCCCCTCATTTTACCTACAGAAAGCACACCAATGAATCACAGAACTATCTGTGTTCAGTTTGGTTTGCTTTAATCAGCTGTGGGCTAATTAAAACTCACACTGTGGCTGTGTGGTAAA